CTGTACCCTCTAGCTGGCAGAGGAGAGAGGGCTGCAGAAATCTAGAAACTGGAAAGTCATGTTTCCTGAGTTAACACAACATATGCATAAAGAGGAGGCAGTGAAATAATCCTTGTAACTCTGAGGGTAGATGGACTGAGCACTCGTGTTGCCACTTGGTTTGTGTTTTTTGATCAACAAGTCCGTTCCTGTGTGATTTTGTCCCATATATACACACACACAGACAAATATATATATATATTTGTTTCTACATTTGTTTTGGTCAACACTCATCTAATATAGCCTTCCCTCACTGGTTGCTGCCCTGTCTCAAACCAGCAGTTTACTAGTGGAAAAGGGTTGTGGAAAAGAAGCAGTTTGCTGATGGAGAAAGGCTGTGACAAGAGCCTATCCCTCTGCCAGCAGAGCCAATGCAGGGACTTGTCACTGAGCAGTGGAAAGCAGGGATGCTGAACAGGTTGTAGCTGGGGATCAGGGAAGAGCTGGCTGAGAGAAACATTTGCTGCTTTTGCTGCTGTTGGATAAACAGAAACATTTTAGAGAAAGACGTCTTCAAAAATGATGACCACATCTCCATCTTAGCCCTATCTACCTGGTGGCAAAGGCTTGTGTGGTGTCTCTACTTGGAAAATGTGCAGTTACAAAAGCTCAGGCTTGTTGCAGATCTGTGCACTTCTGTTGGGAAAAAGTAATATAGTTGAAGGCATGTGATTTTTTTTAAACACTAAAAGAAGAAGGTTAATCATAGCTTAAACTTGGAGGAAGAGAGAAAGCACCCACAAGGTACAAGTTTGTTCAATGCTGAACATGCAGTTACTCTGGAGAAAAAGCAGATGAAGGGTATTCTTACTTTAAAAGACAACACTTTTCTCCTACTTTAGACTCTTTGATTTAAAAAGAAGTTTTTTTGAGTCATGCTGTAGCTCAATGTGGAAACTGATGTTCTGGGAGGCAGGTGATTGGTACCTTGCTTCTTTGTGGGGGGAAGCTTTGTGGAGGGCATTTCTGGCCACCTTGAGCATCTTTGAACCTTCCTGACTATGGATAACATGATAAATCCTGATAACTTCACCTGGAATGAGAGAGACAGACAGACAGAGAGATAGACAGAAGTTGTGCTGCTTTTAGACTATTTTTACTACTAAGGGAAACAAGCACACAGAAGGCCCACAGCAATTTCTTGGCTTTTCAAGCAGCTTCATGAAATTAACGACTTGGTTTGTGAGTTGTGACATGGTCACACCCGTCTTCTCTTTCTGAGAGAAACCTGGCCCAGTGTACAGCCATGATGAAAGCTGGCTAAGCCTGGATGTTAGGAGAAAGTTGTTACTTCTGAAAAAACAGGCACTTACCTCAAGTCTCCAGGAATGTGTGCTGAAGAAGCTGTAACAGATAGAAGAGCATGTCCATTTCACATTCAATGATGTGTATGGCCTCATCAATGATCTCCTTCTCCAAAACTCTTCACTTCACAAATTGAACTAAAATTATTTAATTTTATCAAGGAGTTGCAAATTTGATGACAAAAATATATAGTCTAATTGAATCCTGAATTAACATTGTGAAAACTGAAAGTCTTGTTGAAAACTAAGAACCATTTCAGCTGAGAGGTGCTAGAGGGAAGAGGTAGCTTCAGGGAAGTTGATGACATCCCTACACTTAAAACCATTTCCCTTCTCGGCTGTGCCTCACAGCTGCTTTGCCTCTGTTTTACAATGTTGTTCTGCTTATCAGCTATCCTCTGTTTTTTTTGAAAAGTGATGAGTTCTTAACCTAATGTGCAATGCTAATGTCAGTGCCGTGGGACTGAAGGTTGCTATGAGGCACACTTGGGCTCTCCACTGCTGAGCACACAGGTGCTGCTGTGGGCCCTCTGACACATGGCAGGACTCAGTCTGTCTGTCTGCTCTCAGGCAGGTACTACTTGGTGCAAGAGGGCAGCAGATCATGACAGTTTCTGATAAAAGGAAAAAAAGTGAAAACTGCAATAGGGATGTTTGGTGTTTGAATTTAATTGACCTCCCTTTCAGAGCTGGTAGGAAGATTCCCTCCCCCTTTATGCAAACAGCATATTTGGCTGTAGAGAAACATACCAATTGTATGTTTCTATTCATCAAACTTCCTCTTTCAAAATTGCCTGTAATATTTGCAGAGGGATGCTTTCTTCAAATTATGTCTTGTGTTTTAGACAGAATATCATTCCCATTCTTATGCTTTTTCTATTTGTTGAAAACATATAGCTGCAGTGTCTTAGGAAATGAAATATGCTGAGTGTTTTTCTAGTACCCGCCTTGACTAAACAATTTGATCCAACACTTGTATCAATATGATATATGTATCACTCTGTATATTGGTAAAATTTTGCAGAGCTTACACAATAACTTTGTTATGCTGAGATGTTTTGTTGCTCGGCACAGTAAATAACCTCTCAGTGTCTACCAAACAATAAGTATTGAAACTAGAGATACAGAGAGGTGCACGCAGTTCTGCCTAGGAACTATTTCTGCACTTAATGCTGGAGGAAGCGATTGTGAAAGAATGACTTGCGCAAAATCGTTGCATCAGCCTTTCCAGCAACAGGAGTTGATTGACAAAAGGAGAGAGACTGACACTGAATTTCAGCTTGCGAAGAAAAGAGAGCAACCACAATCTGTGCTCATTTTTGTGTCCGCAGTCAGCAGCTGCGATAGAATTTGTTGAAATGGGAGTTTGAAGGGCGTGCCTTGCGTGCCGGGCAATCCTGAACTCTCCAGAAGCCCTTCCTTAGGGGAACCTCCACTAAAGAGAAGCCATGCAAACTGGTATGCTGCACTGACTGAGTAGTTAAAGGACGCTGAGAAAATGTGAACAGAAAGTTTTGTTTGAGAACAGGCTGAAATATTTTGTCACTTCAGGACTGTCACCTCATCAGACCTGCCAAAAATTTCCAGCTTTTTTTGTGTTTACAGGTATGAGGTGACCATTCAGATGCCAGAGCGCATGATCAGCATACAAGGAGGATGAAGTACGGCACGCAGTACACGAGGTAAGTACTTAACCTCTGCTTCTTTGGAGTTTCTGGGTACTGCTGGTTTGCAGTCCTGGAACTGTTTACAGTTAATGTGAGCCTCACAATGGTAACCTGTTCTTTGGCCCCTTTGGCATGAAACACAGCCCTTCTTTACTGTAAAATCAGTATTGTTCTAATTACATGCAATGTTTATAGGGTGGCAGTAACATCCAATTCACATCTATTAATGTGTTGTTATTAAGGTGTTGTTTTACAGAACGGAGTGATAGATTTGTTTCATTGCATATCAGCTTATTCTGCCTTTCCAGTAAAGAACGTGAATTGTTTACACAGTGTACAAAAGGGTGTGGCAGTAGCCTATGCAGCTCTGCTTTTAGAAGTCCTTAGGCTGGTGAGGCTGAGTGCAGAGAATACCCAGATCTCTTCCAGGAAAGTTCATGGTGTTGTAGGCTGCAGCCCATTTAAACGGCTGGGAGGGGGGACATGCTGTCTTCAGGCTTCTGCTTCCAGATAGCCATTCAAAATGGGCAGGGTGACACTGCAAAAGCTGTGAGCATTTGGAACCACAGAATCACAGAATCACTTTGATTTAAGAAGAACCTTAAGATCGTTGAGTCCAACCATTAACCAAACACTGCTAAGTCCACCAGTAAACCATAATTATAAACACCACGTCTACATGTCTTTAAAATACCTCTGGGATGATGATTCCACCACTTCCCTGGGCAGCCTGTGCCAGTGCTTGACCACACTTCCTGTGAAGAAATCTTTTCTAATATTCAATCTAAACCTCCTCTGGTGCAGCTTGATGCCATTTCCTCTTGTCCTGTGACTTGTTACCTGGGAGAAGAGACAGACCCCCACCTGATGACTGTCTTCTTTCAGATAGTTGCAGAGAGTAATAAGGTCCTGACTGAGCCTCCTTTTCTCCAGGCTTAACAACCCCAACCTTCTCATCTGATCCTCATAAAACTTACTTTCTAGACCCTTCAGCAGCCTCACTGCCCTTCTCTGGAAATGCTCCAGCACCTCTATGTCTTTCTTGAAGAGAGGGGCCCAAAACTTAACAGGATTCAAGGTGCAGCTTCACCAGTGCTGAGTACAGGGGAACTATCACTGCCTTGGTCCTGCTGGCCACTCTTTCTGATGCAGGCCAGGATGCCACTGGCCTTCTCGTTCACCCGGGCACACTGCTGGCTCATGTTAAGATGGCTGGCAACCAGCACCTCTGGATCTTTTTCTATTGGGCAGCTTTCCAGGCACTCTTCCCCCAGACTCTAGCGCTGCATGGAGTTCTTGTGACCCAACCACAGCACATGGCACTACACTTTGTTGAGCCTCATACCATTGGCCTCAGCCCATGGATCTATCCATTCCAGATCACTCTGTAGATCTTCCTTACTATACAACAGATCAACACTCCCACCCAACTTAGTGTTGTCTGCAAACTGACTGAGTGTGCACTCGATCCTCTTGTCCAATTCATTGATGATCTAACCATCTTCCCCTGTTTAGGGCTGAAACATCCAGCTGTAGCTTCTTTGCTGACAGAGATGACAGAGGCAAGAGCCATAGCCAACATGCATATGAAAAAGTGGGACACTAAGAATCATCCTTTATGACTGTTGAGACGTGATATGTCTGTACTCCAGAGATGAGCAGCACACCAAGTTTGTTTGCTTCACACTCTTAGCTGAAGTAAAAGAGGAAAACTGACATCACGGATAGCTCTTGCAAATAAAATAATTAATCTGAAATTACTAATCTCAGGATTAATTGCGCAGGATTTCAAGAGTTTTCTGTTACTGTTCAAAACTAAAATTTGACATTATCTTCTCTCCTTTCTGTTTCCTACAGCAAAATGTCCAAAGAAGGAAAATACAAATCAGGAACTACACACAGGTGGCAAGTG